AGCCCTCACTGCATTGGTAAAATGTGGTCTCTCTATTTTTCATGGTCCAAGAGTGGAATCCTCTTTCAGTCTGATGAATGACATAATCGACCACAGAAATGGGAACATGAATGTTTCAACATTCAATACAATTCAGACCATCAAGTACACCCTCCAATCCCGGGAGAAGACAGCAGTCGAGTTCTTTAGACCAAATTGCACACTCTGCAAGAACATCTGTTCAGCAGGAACCACCAACAAACACCAGCAACAGCAGAGTCTGCTTGAAAAGAGACTCGACTGGGGCTGCAAAGGATCCAGTAGTGCTCAGGATCTCAAAAAACAGGCAGCTGAAGAGGAGAAGAGGGCAAGGCTGAGACATGCTGCTAAACAGAAAACGGGCCCTTGAGATTCTGGTTCAGGCGAAAAAGAAAAAATAATATTCTCATGCTGTGCGTTTTGTGTAAATACTTGCCTCCACACATTAAAATGGCCCCCATATTTTATATGTTTTATGTGTTATTATATTTTCTATTTATTCTTTGTGCAGTACTTTGGTAACCTTGTTTTTTAAAATGCTCTATATACACTCACCGGCCACTTTATTAGGTACACCTGTCCAACTGCTCGTTAACACTTAATTTCTAAGCAGCCAATCACATGGCGGCAACTCAGTGCATTTAGGCATGTAGACATGGTCAAGACAATCTCCTGCAGTTCAAACCGAGCATCAGTATGGGGAAGAAAGGTGATTTGAGTGACTTTGAACGTGGCATGATTGTTGGTGCCAGAAGGGCTGGTCTGAGTATTTCAGAAACTGCTAATCTACTGGGATTTTCACGCACAACCATCTCTAGGGTTTACAGAGAATGGTCCGAAAAAGAAAAAACATCCAGTGAGCGGCAGTTCTGTGGGCGGAAATGCCTTGTTGATGCCAGAGGTCAGAGGAGAATGGCCAGACTGGTTCGAGCTGATAGAAGGGCAACAGTGACTGAAATAACCACTCGTTACAACCGAGGTATGCAGCAAAGCATTTGTGAAGCCACAACACGCACAACCTTGAGGCGGATGGGCTACAACAGCAGAAGACTCCACCGGGTACCACTCATCTCCACTACAAATAGGAAAAAGAGGCTCACCAAAATTGAACAGTTGAAGACTGGAAAAATGTTGCCTGGTCTGATGAGTCTCGATTTCTGTTGAGACATTCAGATGTTAGAGTCAGAATTTGGCGTAAACAGAATGAGAACATGGAACCATCATGCCTTGTTACCACTGTGCAGGCTGGTGGTGGTGGTGTAATGGTGTGGGGGATGTTTTCCTGGCACACTTTAGGCCCCTTAGTGCCAATTGGGCATCGTTTAAATGCCACGGCCTACCTGAGCATTGTTTCTGACCATGTCCATCCCTTTATGGCCACCATGTACCCATCCTCTGATGGCTACTTCCACCATGTCACAAAGCTCTAATCATTTCAAATTGGTTTCTTGAACATGACAATGAGTTCACTGTACTAAAATGGCCTCCACAGTCACCAGATCTCAACCCAATAGAGCATCTTTGGGATGTGGTGGAACGGGAGATTCGCATCATGGATGTGCAGCCGACAAATCTGCGGCAACTGTGTGATGCCATCATGTCAATATGGACCAAACTCCCTGAGGAATGCTTCCAGCACCTTGTTGAATCTATGCCACGAAGAATTGAGGCAGTTCTGAAGGCAAAAGGGGGTCCAACCCGTTACTAGCATGGGGTACCTAATAAAGTGGCCGGTGAGTGTATATATATGTTTTCATGCTTGTTCTGTTTGAAAAGTTTGTTCTATTCTGTTTTGTTTGTTTATTTTTTACATATCAGTCTCATTCTTGTCGAAATCATAAAAAGACCTGCTGTATGTTTAAAAAATAAATAAACATAGCCTACAAACAGAAATATATATCAGTTCACAGCTCCACTTACATTTCAAAATGCGGCAATAGCTGGGTTTCAGATGATGTGCGAAGGCGACGCGATTTTAGATGGAGGGCAGGAAGTAAACATGGAGAATACGTCTATAGAGGAAACCGCTGCAGAGAGTCCGTATGAGTTTATATCTCGCAATCCTGACCTTTTTTTCCTCAGAATTGTAAGATATAAACTCAGAATTGTGAGAAAAAGAGTCTAAATTGTGAGGTATAAACTCGCAATTCTGACATTTTTTTCTCAAATGCGAGTATATATATATATATATATATATATAATCAAAATTCTGACTTTTGTCTCCGAATTTGAGTTTAACTTACATTCCAACCGTCTTTGTTGGTCTTCCTTGAGCTTCATCCTCTGCTCTCGTTGAAGAGATGCCTCTGATTTGGGCTTGACCGAGGTTGACCGTCGGAGCCCAATCTACCGACTTAATGTCACCCAAAGCACTAGGGCAGCCTAAAAAGTCCCAATGCAGACCATATTAGACTACCGGTAACTTAATAATCATTACTAAGTAAATGAGCATTTAACAACAACCTAATGCTACATAAACACAGCCCCAAAAACCAAGTTAGCTAGCTAACATACCTCCGACGAAGTGGTTGCAGCAGACACGGGCATTAGCAGACTGCTCCTCCTGACCGCAGACGTACGTTTAAAATCCACTTTTTACGGCGTTGTTCTGTGAGCTTTTTAAATTTCTCACCTTTATGAACGACAATCTTTGGTACTCTATAAAACCCCTTTCCCTTTTTTCAGTTAGAACGATTGGACAACCTGATCTCACAGAATTCCGTGAAATGAACACGGACCCTTAACTCAAAATCCGTGGCAGTTTCACGGAATCGCCGAAAATTCCGTGATGTGCCCACGGAAGTAATGCCTATGTGAGTCAATGACAGGCAGCATCCGTGGTCCACACACGGACAGTTACAACACACACGCACTCCCCCAATTGACGTCGTTTTATAATTTGGAAAGGTATCGCTTTAAATATTCAGAGTTTACTTAAAGTACTTTACTTTAAATATTTAGTTTTAAAGTGATTTTAACTTGATATTGCATTGTTCTGTCGTCGTTTGATCGCTAGGATAACGTCTGGTCACCCTGAATTCCGTGACCGTACCACGGAATATTCAGTGGTCGCCACAGATTGTTTCACCTTCACTGGACGATATTGCCTATTGCTGATTTTGACACTTTAGGCTATTCAAGTTGTCTGTGTTTGCGATGAAATGTAGCCTCATTAAAATGTGAACATATTATCTCCCCCGATCAGTTTGTAACAGTTTTCCTTATTGTCAAATTCTGTGATGGCACCACGGATTCTTCTGTGACTGTACCACGGAATATTCAGTGGTCACCACAGATTTTTTTCACCTTCACTGGTGCCTATTGCTGATTTTGACACTTTAAGTAGGCTATTCATGTTGTCTGTGTTTGTGATGCATGTAGCCTAATTAAACTGTGAACCTCTTATCTCCCCTGACCAGTTTCTATAGCCTTTTGCTTATTGACAAATTCTGTGATGGCACCACGGATTCTTCCGTGACGGGACACACGGATAACCGGATAACTAGAGGCAGGCTTGATCAATCAAAATCCCCATCCATCATCTTAGTGTAAATAATATTTGGACTAATTTACCATTTTTTTTATGTTTACTCAATTGACAGATAGGCATATACAGACAACGAAAAAAAAAAAAGATAAAGACTAATAATAAATTAATGTTAAATCGGACGAGTCTGTTGCCATGACGGCGGCCCCACTTTCACGGTTTTTCCGCCATTGCGAGGATCCCCTCTACAAATCGGTATGTATCTCAGACCTGCTACCTATTTACTATCTATAAATGTTGAATTATAAGTTTTAATGCGTTTTAGATGGCTTGTATTGTTGATTGCTAAATAGTTGACATGATATCTTGTCTGTAATTGTTTTTCTCTAAAAAAGTATGCATTTTTACATTACAAATATTTAAAAGACGTTTTCTCAAAAAAAAATTTTTCATTCTCCAGTAACATTACATCTCATCCTATGTAGCACTATCATGTACACCAAAAAAATATAGAGGAAATCGATTTTTTTTTTCTCCAGTATTATTTTCTAAGTAATGAACGCATATAGGCCCTATCCTGAAATTAATCTGATATTCTTTTTCCATTTTATGTGTAAACAAAATGAAAAAATAATTTTGAACCTGGCTTTATCATATGCATATGTTCAGATTTATGTAACCGAAAATATATATGCAAACTTGCGCATATTTAATGAGATAATGCCTACTTTGCATAATTAAAAATACACATTTCAAAAACTTATAATACATTGTTTTTATATACTTGTGTAATTAATCAACTGAGGAAGTTTCATGGTGATATCTATTATTTTAAAAGTTTACCCTATTCACCTGTAGTGTCTCGCATTAATGTAGACATTATATTTTTTTCTCAGAGATGTATCTAATTATGCTTTCTTGTCTGGTCTACAGATTATTTGCTGTTTTACATCTTATCTCCATTTCTCTATCTCTATATCGTTTAGAAAACAAAGGCACTTTTAAGAGCCACTCTTTCAATCTCTCTCTCTCACTCTGTTTCTCTCTTAAGTCTCTCACACTTTCTCTTTCTCTCCTGCACCCCCTCCTCTCTCTCTCACACAAACACACACACACACACATTCATCTTCATATCTGTATTGTGTGTCTATTGTCTATATTTTTGTATTGTATCTGTGCGTGCGTGCACCATGTCGGAAAACCACCCAGGAGTCTTTGAAGATCCCAATGAGGCCAGGGGCCATATGGCTGCTGAAATTAGCAAGGCTCTTCTCCGTGAGGCCAGGGTGAGAAATTTTGATAAACTTACACCCATGTCTCTGAAAATCACTATTTACATATTGTTTGTTTGTTCTAGTTGCTGTTGAGGTATGATGTTCTAGACATTTAATGGACATTGGAGTAGTGTAGTATTTTATATCTTGTAGTTTTAGTTTTGTGTTTTTTATTGTTAGTTACTTTGGAAAAAAGCGTCCATCAAACATAACAATAAGTCTGATATTCTATCAGAAAACATTAATATTTTATTTTCATATAGGCTGCAATGGCAATGGGAAGCCATGTCCCTCAAAAAAGAAAGAGGACTAAGAGAGGGAAAGCAGTCGCAAGCGTAGCGGCCACAAGTAACAGACGTAAGAAACGTCAAAAAGCAGAACGTCGTGCATTAGGTTCGTTGTTTATAGCACTGTTATAGTTTAATAATGATAATTATCTAAATGTTGGTGAGTGAAAAGATGGTTTGAGCTCACTGAGCCAGATGTATGATGGAATATTGTGAATTTTCTGGACTAAAATATATGATGCTTTACAGTAAGACCCTGATAGAATAGATAACCTATTGTATTGGCCTTTGCAGCTTCTGAAGTTCAAGTGATCACAGTGTCTGAGGAAGTCCCTCAGATCGAAGAAGAGATGACTGCAAGTCTTGGTGAGTATGTGTCACAGTCTTCGCCTGCACCTGTCTGTCTTAGTCATCTTCACTACACTACCCAGAATCCTTCTTGTCTCCACACCTGTACTCACTCCCTCATTATCCACCTGTCCCTCGTCATCATCATCTGTGTCACCTGTCTTCACCTCGTTAGTGTTCATTTGTCTCTGTATTTAGTTTGCTTCTGTTCATTCAGTCTTTGTCGGTCGTCGTCTATGTATGGTTGTATTAGTGTGAGTTTTGTTTGCCTGCCTGTACCTGTTTTGAGTTAGTTATCAGTAAATGTTTAAATTGGAGCCTTCTTGCCTCAGACTCTTCTTCAACCCGCACCACAACCCGTGACAGTATGTCTGTATAATCCCTATAACTATATTTCCTATTCCTCCATATCAACAACTTTTCTAATGGCCCTGTAAACTTTTCCTCGAGTCATTGTTGTTGATGTCTCACACTTCTTCTCCACGCAACTACATTAAAAGTGGTTTGTGTTTGTATTTTGTTGTTGTAGACAGAACATGTGCATTATATTCTAATTTTTACAATTCTACACTCATTGCTTTTGCAAAGCTTGCTTTTAGAAATTCTTGCCTATTTTGGGAAGTGATAAACACTCCAACTCTTCATTTCAAACTGGTCTATTATCGGAAGCATATTACACGGTTTGTGAGACCATTGTGATACAATGGTTCGTGATACCATGATCAAGTCCATATACAGTACATTAAACCAACATTGAATGGACACTGTCGTGTATGGCTTGGTCAAAGTCAGAGTTTAAGTCATAATTATTGTCGTACCATTCAGTATTAAGTAATTTTTATCCATTGTGCCTTCACTCAATCGAAGGGTTGTTTAACAGTTATTTATTTATTTTCAGAAACGTGTCTTCAACAGCTGAGGGACACTCTTGACTCAGTTGAGGTTAATGTGGCAGCTGAAAAAACAGCATGGGCACAGCGGCAGCTACACGCTGATACAAGGGCAAAAGCAGCAAGGCCAGTGCTGCTCGATGCTAAACTGTCCGCTGAAAGAGACTTCTACCAAAAATGTCACAGGTGCGGTGGTGGAGAGGCAGTAATTAGGTGCCTGGATTGTGTGCCACTGGACATGGAGTATCTATGTGGAGGATGCGACATGGAGGCTCACAAAAAGAATGTGTTCCATGGCAGGGAGGCACTTTTCCATGGCTACCTGGAGCCTATTCCCCCCACAAAGGCTGTGGTGATGGGTGAAAACGGCCAGCCTCACTTTTGTGAGCAGGGTATGTGTTTATTAACAATTTATATTGACTAGTAAAGGGTAATTACTAATTACACAAATATTCTTTGTTGATATACTTTGTCAATGGAAAAGGTTTAAACTCTTAATTTGAATCACTCTTTGACTGAAGAAATTGTTTTTGTTTGGCTTTGACTATGAAACGTGCTATTAGTAAGCAAACAGTGATAATGACATGGTAGAGTTGTCTATTTTGTAGATGTTGGTTTTGAATCACTGATCTGACAAGTGATATACCTTCTCGATTGAGGAAAAATGTAACAAACCTCTTTGCATTGCAGTATGTCAGTTGCCATTGCCCGCACATAGGGCACCCATGAGATTGAGGTCACCTCTGGCAAGCATATTTCTGTGGTCACCATGAATGGTAAGTTTGGAAAGTCCTGCTTTTTTGTTTCGTTGTACCGCAGAAGTTAACAATTGCAATCAAGGCAAAGCTTTTCTCTTGAGAAATATACCAATTGCCAAATGTTAATGCCATATCAAATACTACAGTGAATTAATAAGGGACAGTTGAGTTGGAAAAAGTTGATTCTGTGAAACACGTTTAATGTGTCTCTTTTTTCACAGGACGATATGATGTCTGTTTGCCCCGTAAAGTTTGTCCTACCTGCCTTGTGGAATGGACCCCAGGGGTGAAAGAGCTCCTCAGGTACCGTTACTGGCCAAGCGCAAGAAACTGCCAGACACTATATAGTTTTGATGTCTTTGAAGCTTTTGCTCACATCAAAGTATCGGCTCCTTCGATGTCAAGGCATGCCTTTTTAAAGCTACTGGAGCACCGTTCTGTTCAGGCTGGAAGGGCAAATCTGCTTGAATCATTGTTACACACAATCATATTACTGTAATATTGTAATATTTCTTTTCTGTAAACACAATTTTTTTTTTATGTCATAGCCGGGGAATGTCTGTGCAGATACGTTCCAGAAAAGCTTTTTCGAATATTGTTTTTGCAAGCATACAGAAGAGGTGATGTGTGAAGTAAATGACTTTTATTGTCCAGCATGTCACCCAGACATGTTGGCAGTGTGTTGCGATGGCAATCGCAAACATTATCGCTTCAAAAAATCAAGGGGGTATGTTCATATTAGACAGGCATTAATCTCAATATCAAAACCACAGCATTGTCATAGAAATAGTTGCATGTAGAGTCATGTTTGGTCAGTTAAAAGAGGATTTATTTTGTGATCAATTTTAATGGACAGGAATGAGGAACCCTCTCTGTACAAGGGGTTATTTCTTGCCAAAGATGAGGAGGTATCATGATGCGTTCACGTGCTATGGAAAATATGATATTTTCCACTTGTGAACTGGTATTTACCAGTGTGTTGCGTTCAAGTGCTTTTGTTGTCGTAATGTGGTAAAAAGATGGAGATCCAGACCTGTTATTTAGCTAAAACTATTTTAGATTGCTTAAGTCATCTGCTACAGCGAGAAGATGATTTATCAAAACTCAAACGGTAAATAATATGATGTATATTTTCTAGATCATGAATAGTACTAGTACATATTTTTACCGCGTTGCTCTCCGCCATTTTGAAAAGGTCAAAGGTTATCTCATCTCGGCAACTCGTGCATCAAAATATTCTACGAGTTGCCCAGTGGAAAATACCACAGGAGGGGGTGTTCATGTGCATTTTCCACGTCGGCTTTTGGTATTTACCATTATTACGTGAACGCACCATCAGCCTTTCTCAACAATGTCAGAGGCAGCAGCATGACAAGAGCATGTCTAATATTGCATATTAAGACAGTATATCTACTGCTTATGTTTGAGTGTCTTTTGTGTTTTCTATTTGTTAAGACGAGTGATATCTGACTTTACAGGCAGATAACAGTGGAACATGTGGCATTTCAAGGTTCGGGCGAGTAAGGAGACGTCAAAAAAAATCATCGTCAAAAATAGATGAACAGGGGATACAAGTGGCAGTTTGCAGGTATGTGGGTAGATCAGAAGTGTGCAATTGTACAAATGCCATTTGTTACACACTGTGGAAACTCATTTGTGGATAAATGTTTTAGAGTCATGTTTAATTTCCTTATGGGAAGTAAAGTAAATCCCCTTAACAGATTTTTTTTCCCTAGAAGATTGTTTTAAAGCTCAGTTAGTCACATATGTAGAGATTGATGGGGAAATGTGTGTGTGTGTGAGAGAGAGAGAGAGAGAGAGAGAGAGAGAGAGAGAGAGAGAGAGAGAGAGAGAGAGAGAGAGAGAGAGAGAGAGAGAGAGAGAGAGAGAGAGAGAGAGAGAGAGAGAGAGAGAGAGAGAGAGAGAGAGAGAGAGAGAGAGAGAGAGAGAGAGAGAGAGAGAGAGAGAGAGAGAGAGAGAGAGAGAGAGAGAGAGAGAGAGAGAGAGAGAGAGAGAGAGAGACTGAGAGACTGAGAGACTTGAGAGGCTTTGAATAGAGGGTTTTGATTAGCTTTGTTTTCCACAGGTCTTATTGTGTAAATTGATCATTAACCATATTGTCCTCTTGTGTATAAGACACGGGATATTGCTGCGAGGACTGAACCACTACCGTGGCGAGGTCTTCGCCTACTCAATGTTTTTACAGAGGGAATTGTCAGAGAGGGCCAATGTGTAACGGTAACTTACATGTATTCGTATTGAACCGTTTCGGTACGAGGCTTCCGGTTCGGTACGCATACAAACCGAACGATTCCTAGGACCATTTTTCCTGCCGACAAAATCCGCACTGGCGCGACCATAGGGCACGACCACCACAACGTTGCGCAACATCAAAATGGCAAACGTAATGGAAGCGGAACGAAATTGCGCTACTCATTATATTGTGCTTCACGGACAGTTTATCAGTTCGGACCAGCAACATCTGTGCAGCGCGAGCCGATCTTGATCAAGCGACGCTTGTTATACACAGCGCTAAAACATCCAGTGAAGAAAACATTTGAATTCGCCACTGAAGTAATAACATCGCTGCGAGATCTAGTGAGAAGCATTGACATTTCTTCGTTATTAACCGTAGATCTCTATTAGATCAAACAGCGCTGACGTGGAAACCAGGAGAAACATTGTGCCGGACACATCTTTTTCCAGCACTTCAAAACTCAAATATTATATATATAAATATATATTTAAATGTTATTTTGAATGTGATGACCATTTATAAACCTAAAAGTTTTAATATATAGGAAAACTATTTTAAAAAATATTTTTTCTTTTAATAAATAGGACATTTATCTGGCATTTCTTTCTTTTTGCTGTATCGAAAACGTACCGAACCGTGACACCACTGTATCGCATCGAACCAAACCATTAATTTTGTGAACCGTTATACCCCTATATATTCTCTTTTTTTTTAATATACACTTTTTTATTATTTGTTTACGTGCCTGGCCTGCCGGGTATTTTAAGTTAAGGTGCTATTTGTTTTTATATTAGACTTTTTAATATTGACTTGCACTAAAGTCCAAAAGTGAAGAATTTATGTTATTTATTACTTGATTGTTCAAGCTACCTCACAGAAGTTGTTGAATGTTAAAATACGGTGAATTAAATAAAAAATAAGGAACATCCTGGATATGTTTTTTCGCTCTTCTTTATTCTTTTTTTTATGTATTATAGATCGGTATCGACGAACAGAGAACTGCAATCAAGGCATTTGTCGATCGGAAAGATGTGTTTGCCGTCCTTACTACGGGATTCGGCAAAAGTTTAATATATCAGCTGGCTCCGATGGTAACTAAGAAGATGGGACGCAATGAAAACCCTGCGGTCGTTGTGGTTTCTCCTTTGGTCGCACACTCGCACTCATGGAGGACCAAGTCAAAGAAGCAACACTCATTATTTTACTACTTCTTCCAGCGTGCGTGCAGTTGAGTTCTGTTGAAACTGTGCTATGCAACTATGTTGCTGACTTACTGCGTTGCTCTGATTGGTTGTAGGTCTATCCAATTGAGTGCAGAGTTTTTGTTTTTTCCTGGTTCGGTTAAGACACGCCTCATAATCGAAGCCCTATGGAGCAGTATCAGACTCACATTCTGACTAGAATATGAGTATGACGAAGTCAGGCTAGCTGTTTGCACTTTGCACGTTAAAATAAACCCTTTGATAAATATATAAAAATGTTTTGTATTTTTAACGGGTCACAGATATGCGTCAATTTTATTTTTATTTAATGCCAATTCAATATTATAATCTTATCAGTTAACGGTTAATAATCGATTAACGAGCGGCGGTTGTCGGTCGGGAAAATTAACCGAAATGAGCATCCCTACTGGATACATTTTGTTGAAATCACATATGAGGACTTCAGGCTGTGGAGAAATGCAATCCTCCCACTGATCTTTATAATGTCATTATATAGATCAGTGAATCCTCCATAGCCACGGAGCGCTGTCATGACAGCGAGGGTATCACGTCGCAGTTACGGCATCGATAAAAGGAGCGGTGTCCGCAGACTCAATGCTTGTAAAATGGCAAATAATCCTTCTGATCGGTCGGTGTATTTTTGCTTTATACATTTTAGGCTTATTCTCAAATTCAGATTGTGTTAGGGGGGCAGGATTATTAGGCCATTTTAATTGGACAATTTGACCGGAGAGATTTTATTTTGTCGGACATTTCATTTTTTTTTTGTCCGGTAATTACCCAGGGTTCCCGCGGGGTCTTAAAAAGCCTTAAAAGCATTGAATTTATGAATTTGGAAATAATACCTTAAAAAGTCTTAAATTTTGATGTCTGGGTCTTAAAATTTGTGCTGTGTCAGTGTATTTAATCGACGAATATAATGACGAAAACTTTTCTTCAACGACATTCTTCACTGACGAAAACGAGACGCTACCTAAATAAAACCTAGTTTTGAATGACAAAAACTATGACGAAAATCATTGACTTTTTCAATCGTTGACATTTTCGTCAACGAATAAAAACTAGCTGAAAATGTTAGATAGTGTCGATCTGGCAAGCGATCCAGTCAGAACTGATGTCCTGCGTGTGTGCTAGATGCACACATTTGTACTGTAACGTGCTGATCTACCCCGTGGTCTCATAAAATGTTAAAGGTGCCCTAGAATGTTTTTTTAAATTATTTTATAATGTTTCCTGGGTTGCCCTTATAATGTTAGTATGTTTTTTAGATCAAAAATAGTCATAATTTAGAAATAAATGGCATTTTTCCTAGCCTGCTTTTAGCCTCTGATTTGAACACTCTGTTTGAAGGGGCGTGTCTGCTGTGGGATTCAGTGCAGAGCCATAGAGAGAAAGAGTTGCGACACGCTTTGATGTCGCCGCGACGGCTGTCACGTGGTTCATGTAAGCTCCAATAGTTCCAAAACGTACGCGGGCTGTCATGTTCTTCTATGGACAGACAGCAGCGATTGCATTATTAAACGGTAAATATAAAATAAAACACACACCCAAGTACTTTTTAAGCTGTTATTGCGTTTTGTTAATGTCAGTTTTGCATTTGGAGAGGCAGGGTGACAACTTAGATAAGTTTTAGGCTATATTTTTGGAGGGAAACGCTAGTGTTCATGTTCGCATGGGTAGTAATAGCTGGCTTTAGCGGCTCTAACTTAACTTTTCCATGTCATTCATCTGATGATGGACGTCTCATGATATTTATTTTAGCACAACTGGGCTGTATTAGGCTATTGATTCCCGTGATCTTGCTTATAAATTCCGCTTCATGATCACGCAAAGAGGTCTGCAGTCCGTTCAGAATTCCAACCAACATAAAATATAAATAATTACGCTGTGCATGTACAAATGAATGATTTAGGAGGGAATAGACTGCTCCCATAACGTAGAAAGCAACGACTATATACAGCAATGTTCGGTAAATATTCAACCGAAAAATATTCTTCATAAAATTAAACCGGAGAGATAGTTAATGAGTGAATTAACTATGTTCCTAAATACATATAAGCACATGCATAGCCCTAACCCATTTAAATAAATGAATTGTGTGTGTGTGTGTGTGTGTATGTATATAATATTATATATACATATAAAATATTATTAAAAATATTATATATTATATACATCAGGTTACCGTAAGTTAGCTAACGTTAGTGAAGTGTTGGTCACGTAAGCTATCGCTGCAATTAACCTAT